GCTAATTTTTTTTTTTTTTTTTTTGAGATGGGGTTTCAGTCTTATTGCCCAGGATAGAGTGCAACGGCGCAATCTCAGCTCACCCCAACGTCTGTCTCCTGGGTTCAAGCAATCCTCTTGCCTCAGCTGCCCAAGTAGCTGGGATTATGGGCATGGGCCACCATGCCTGGTTAATTTTGTATTTTTTTAGTACAGACAGGGTTTCTCCATGTTGGTCAGGCTGGTCTCCAACTCCTGACCTCAGGTGATCCTCCCGCCTTGGCCTTCCAAAGTGCTGGGATTACAGGGGTATACCACTGTGCCCGGCCTATTTTTTTTTTTTTTTTTTTTTTGAGACGGAGTCTTGCTCTGTCGCCCAGGGTGGAGTGCAGTGGCCGGATCTCAGCTCACTGCAAGCTCTGCCTCCCAGGTTTATGCCATTCTCCTGCCTCAGCCTCCTGAGTAGCTGGGACTACAGGCGCCCGCCACTACGCCCGGCTAGTTTTTTTTTTTTTTGTATTTTTAGTAGAGACGGGGTTTCACCGTGTTAGCCAGGCTGGTCTCGATCTCCTGACCTCGTGATCCACCCATCTCGGCCTCCCAAAGTGCTGGGATTACAGGCTTGAGCCACCGCGCCCGGCCTTTCTGGCCTAATTTTTTAAAGTTTTTGTAGAGACTGGGTCTGGCTATGTTTCCCAGGCTGATCTTGAACTCCTGGGCTCAAGTGATCCTCCAACGCTGGCCTCCCAGAGTGCTGGGGTTACAGGTGTGAGCCACTGAGCTTAGCTTGAAGCATAAAGAAGTTTCTTCATTCTTTTACATATTTGTCCTGAAGCCCCTGTACTGATACGCTCTCTTGCTCTTCTCCCTTCTCCTATTTAGAGCTAGAAAATCTGTAGCCCTGAGTCCTTGAAAAAGGCAAACGATATGGAATTGTTAACAGATACTTTTACGTTACACTTTTTTTTTTTTTTTTGAGACAGAATTTCACTCTTGTTGCCAGGCTGGAGTGCAATGGCGCGATCTCGGCTCACTGCAACTTCCGCCTGCTGGGTTCAAGCGATTCTCCTGACTCAGCCTCCCGAGTAGCTAGGATTACAGGTGCCTGCCACCATGCACAGCTAACTTTTTGTATTTTTAGTAGAGACAGGATTTTACCATGTTGGCCAGGCTGGTCTCAAACTGCTGACCTCAGGTGATCCACCTGCCTCGGCCTCCCAAAGTGCTGGGAATACAGTGTGAGCCACCGCGCCCGGCCTAAGTCACACTTTTGTTTTGTTTGTTTGTTCGAGACAGTGTCTGTTGCCTAGGCTGGAATGCAGTGGCACCATCTTGGTTCACTGCAACCTCTGCCTCCTGGGTTCAAGTGATTCTCCCACCTCAGCCTCCTGAGTAGCTGGGACTACAGGCACGTGCCACCACACCTGGCTTATTTTTGTATTTTTAGTAGAGACAGGATTTCACCATGTTGATCAGGCTGGTCTCGAACTCCTGACCTCAGGTGATGCACCTGCCTCAGCCTCCCAAAGCACTGGGATTACAGGCGTGAGCCACGGCGCCCGGCACACTTTTGTTTTTGTCCTTGAGAAACAGAGTTTTCTTCTGTGGCCCAGGTTGGAGTACAGTGGTTCAATCATAGCTCACTACAGCCTTGACCTCCTGGGCTCAAGAGATATCCCCCACCATCTCAGCCTCCCAAAGCCCTGGGATGACAGGTGTCAGCCACTGTGCCTGACCACACTGTGTTTTTGCAAACCAGGTACCAGGATGCTTAATTTGTTTCACTGGGACTTTAACCTGTTTGGAAATGGACCTGGCACAATGACTGGTCAATTTCCCATCTATTGCTGTGACTATTGCATACCTTGCCCCAGGCCCTTTTCCTGCCTCCAGGGGGACTTTCTGCAGTTTTCCCTCAGACCCAGCACTGTGTTGCTCTTTTCTAGCTGGTCCAAGCAGGTCTTTTCTTAGCACAGGCCAATTATCTGCCCAGCATTTACTTTCCCAGTCTGTTTACCATGACAACCTCTCCTAGAGACACAAAATCTGAGTGGGCCCCATGCAGACAGGAGCACTTCCTGTCCTGGGCACTGCCCAAGGAGATAATAAAGCAATTATTTCTCGCTTGAAGCAGTACATCTTGAAGGACGAGTGAGAGAGAAAAGGTCATTTATTCATGCCTACTATGTTCTAGGCCCAGTTAAGGGTAATTTGCAGATGGAAATGTCATTTAATATTCCCAGTAGAAGTTGCTTTTTTTTTTGAGACAGTTCTTGCTCTGTTCTCCAGGCTTGAGTGCACTGGTGCAATCTCCACTTGTTGCAACCTCTGCCTCCGGGGCTCAAGAGATCCTCCTACCTCAGCCTCCCAAGTAGCTGGGACCACAGGCATGCACCACCAAGCCTGGCGAATTTTTGTATTTTTTGTAGAGCCTTGGTTTCGCCATGTTCAAGATCAACCTGGAGTCTTGAACTCCTGGACTCAAGAAATCCACATGCTTTTGCTTCCCAAAAAGCTGTGATTAGAGGTGTGGGCAACCCCACGCCTGTTGTTTTGAGTGATGTGAAATAGCAGGTTGTCTCATACCTCAGGGCCTCTGCTTAGGAGTGTGACCATTTCATCCTGCATGAAATCCTCTGTCCAGAGTTGAAATGGGGTGGAGTAAAATTCAGCTCCTGCTCTCCTTCCCAAGCCTTGGGTCCTGGGGGGCAGGGTAGGGGGTGGGTTTCTGCCTGGAGTAAGGGATGCCTCTTCCTAATTTGCACAAAGATATGCAGCAGGTTAGAGGTGGGGCCTGGGTCTGGTCCGAGCTGCACTCTTACCATCCCTCCACACTGCTCCCCAGGTCAGAGTGCTCCTGAGGGGAGGGCCTTGCCTGCTCTTCCTCCCTTGCCCTTCTATAGGGACCTAGGTAGGGCAGTGGCATACATCTGTGTTCCCAGCACTTTGGGAGGCTGAGGCGGGAGGACTGCTTGAGGCCAGGAGTTCAATGTTACAGTGAGCTATGATTGCACCACTGCACTCAAGAAGCCTGGGCAACAGAGCGAGATCCTGTCTCTAAAATATAAATAAATACATACAAGAACCCAGCTAAAGTGCCTGGCCAGGACGGGCTCTGGGTCAAGCTTACTCTCTTCTGTTCGTGCAGTTTTTGTACTGAGAAATGTTTCATTCGTTCAGTTGAAATGTCAACTCCTCGCTGGGCACAGTTGCGCATGCCTGTAATACCAGCATTGGGAGGGTGGGGCAGGAGGATTGCTTGAGCCCAGGAGTTTGAGACCAGCCTGGGCAATGTGATGAGACCCTGTCTCTACAAAAAACAAAAATTACTGGGGCATGGTGGTGTGAGCTGCTGGGGAGGCTGAGGTGGGATGATCTTCTGAACCCAAGAGATTGAGGCTACGGTGAGCAGAGATTGTGCCACTGTACTCCAGCTTGGCCGACAGGGTGAGACCCTATCTCAAAAAAAAAAAAAAAAAAAAAAAGGTCAACTCCTCAGTGAAGGCTGACCCAGCCTACTCACTGTAAAACTAATCACTCTTCCCCTGTGACTAGTCTTACCCTGTATAGTACCCTCCTCACCTACTATGCTGTGGTGCTTTGTAGGAGTCAGTTTGCTTTTAAATTGGTCATTATAGGCACATGATGAAAAATTAAAATATAAAAGGATCTAGAAAAAGTGAATTTCCTTCAATCCTTGATCCCAAGTTCCCCAGATTCTTTCCTCAGAAATAGGCTATGAATTGTTTTTCTTCTTCCAGAGATATTTTATGCATAAGTAAACATACATATATTATCCCTAACTGTCCTCCTTTTCTTCTTCTTCTTTTTTTTTTTTGTTTTTTGTTTGCCACAGGGTCTCACTCTGTTCAGGCTGAAGTACAGTGGGGCAGTCATAGCTCACTGCAGCCTTGACTTTTTGGGTAGTACCCCCCACCCCACCCCCGACTCAGCCTCCCAAGTAGCTGGGACCACAGTCACACACCACCAAACCCAGCGAATTTTTAATTTTTTTGTAGAGATAGGGTCTCACTATGTTATTAAGTGATCCTCCTGCCTCAGCCTCCCAAAGTGCTGGCATTACAGGAATGAGCCACTGCCTGGCCCTCTTTCTTTTTTAGAAACCCAAATAGAGGCCGGGCATGGTGACTCACACCTGTAATCCCAGCACTTTGGGAGGCTGAGGCAGGCAGATCACGAGGTCAGGAGATTGAGACCATCCTGGCTAACATGGTGAAACCCCATCTTTATGGGCCAAGTGCGGTGGTTCACGCCTGTAATCCCAGCACTTTGGTAGGCCGAGGCGGGTGGATCATGAGGTCAGAAGATCGAGACCATCCTGGCTAACACGGTGAAACCCTGTCTCTACTAAAAATACAAAAAATTAGCCGGGCCTTGTGGTGGGCGCCTGTAGTCCCAGCTACTCTAGAGGCTGAGGCAGGAGAAGGCGTGAACCCGGGAGGCGGAGCTTGCAGTGAGGCAAGATAGCACCACTGCACTCCAGCCTGGGCGACAGATCGAGACTCTGTCTCAAAAAAAAAAAAAAAAAAAAAAAATAGAGGCTGGGTCTGGTGGTGCAGGCCTGTAGGCCCAGATGCTGGTGAGGCCAAGTTTGGAGGATTGCTTGAACCCAGGAATTTGAGGCTGCAGTGAGCTTTGATTGCGCCACTGCACTCCAGCCTGGGCGACAGATTGAGATCCTATCTCAAAAAAAAAACAAAAAACAAAAAAGAGGCCAGGCGTGGTGGCTCATGCCTGTAATCCCAGCACTTTGGGAAGCCTAGGCAGGCAGATCACGAGGTCAGGAGTTCGAGAGCAGCCTGGTCAACATGGTGAAACCCCATCTCTACTAAACATACAAAAATTAGCTGGGTGCGGTGGCACGCGCCTATAATCCTAGCTACTCAGGAGCCTGAGGCAGGAGAATCGCTTGAACCTGGGAGGCGGAGGTTGCAGTGAGCCGAGATCACGCTACTGCACTCCAGCCTGGGTGACAGAGCGAGACTCAATCTCAAAAAAAAAAAAAGGCCACTGTCGCCACCACCGAGACCAAGATGGCCACGAGACTCAGCATTTTCCTCAAGATTTCCTGGGCCAGGGAGCCAGTGCTGGTCGGGTCCTTTATCATCTGGAGCCTCGCTGTAATTCTACCCCCACTTAGCCCCTACACCAAGTACTCCACCATGATCAATGAGGCAATGCCCTACAACTACCCAGTGCCTGTCTGCGATGACGGGAACATGCCCAACGTGCCCAGCCACCCCCAGGACCCCCAAGGCCCCAGTTTGGAGTGGCTGAAGAAATTGTGAGCACCTCCACTGACAGAGGAGGGCCTTCCCATGGCTCCCACTAAAAACGTGAAAACCAACCTCTCCCCACCCAAAAAAAAAAAAGAAAGAGAAAGAAAAATTGCATTAAATATCTGATCTAGGCCAGGCACAGTGGCTCATGCCTGTAACTGTAACTCTAGTACTTTGGGAGGCCGAGGCAGGAAGACTGCTTGAGGCCAGGGGTTCAAGACAAAACTGGCCAACAAAATGAGACCTCGTCTTTAAAACATAAATTCCGGGGCCAGGCGTGGTGGCTCACAACTGTAACAGCACTTCGGGAGGCCAAGGCGGGTGGATCACGAGGTTAGGTGTTTGAGACCAGCCTGGCCAACATAGTAAAATCCCATCTCTACTAAAAAAAAAATACAAAAAATTAGCCAGGCGTGGTGGCGGGTGCCTGTAATCCCAGCTACTTGGGACGCTGAGGCAGAAGAATCGCTTGAACCTGGGAGGCGGAGGTTGTGGTGAGCTGAGATCGTGCCATTGCACTCCAGCCCAGGCAACAGTGCGAGACTCCATCTCAAAAAATATATATATAAATACAAATAAACAAATAAATAAATATAAATTTCTGGCACGGTGCACATACCTGTAATCCCAGCACTTTGGGAGGCCGAGGCGGGTGGATCACAAGGTCAGGAGTTCAAGACCAGCCTGGCCAAGACGGTGAAATCCTGTCTCTACTAAAAACACAAAAAATTAGCCAGGTGTAATGGCGGGCGCCTATAATCCCAGCTACTCAGGAGGCTGAGGCAGCGAATTGCTTGAACTCGGGAGGTGGAGGTTGCAGTGAGTTGAGATCGTGCCACTGCACTCCAGCCTGGGTGACAGAGTGAGACTCCGTCTCAAAACAAAAAAAAAAATTAAATAAGTAAATTAAAAGTAACTAACTAACTAAATATCTGGATATCTAAGCCGGGTGCGGTGGCTCATGCCTCTAATCCCAGCACTTTGGGAGGCCAAAGCAGGCAGATCATGAGGTCAGGAGTTCGAGACCAGCCTGGCCAACATAGGGAAACCTTGTCTCTACTAAAAAAATTAGCCGGGTGTGGTGGTGCACATCTGTAATCCCAGTTACTCAGGAGGCTGTGGCAGGAAAATCGCTGGAACCTGGGAAGTAGAGGTTGCAGTAAGCCGAGATTGCACCACTGCTCTCCAGCCTAGGTGACAGAGACTCTATTTCAAAAAAAAAAAAAAAAAAAAAAAAGTATATCTGATATACACGTTCATTTATTTATTTACTGAGATGGAGTCTCACTCTGTTGCCCAGGCTGGAGTGCGATGGTGCAATCTTGGCTCACCGCAACCTCTGCCTCCCTGGCTCAAGCGATTCTCCTGCCTCAGCCTCCCGATTAGCTGGGACTACAGATGTGCACCACCACACTCGGCCAGTTTCTGTATCTCTAGTAGAGACAGGGTTTCACCATCTCGGTCAGGCTGGTCTCAAACTCCTGACCTCGTGATCTGCCCACCTCAGCCTCCCAAAGTGCTGGGATTACACGTGTGAGCCAACACATCCGGCCCAATATCTGATATACATGTTAATTGAAGATGGGTGTGGTGGTCACACCTTTAATCACAGCATTTTGGGAGGATCACTTGAGCCCAGGAGTTCAAGACCAGCTTGGGCAACATAGCAAGACCCTGTCTCAAAAAAGAAAAATTTAACATTGACTTTCCTGTCAGAGATAGGAAGTAAGACATTTATGGTGAATTTAAAGCACATATGGCAGCTAATGGTGACAGCATCTCACTGCAGCTGACCCTTGGCCTATGGAAGTGGGCCTGGAATGGCCCACTATTCTTAGTGTTGGCAACTAGTTAAAAAAATTAAAACATTCGAGGTGGGCGGATCACTTGAGGTCAGGAGTTTGAGAACAGCCTGGGCAATATAGTAAAACCCTGTCTCTACTAAAAAATAGGAAAAGTAGCTGGGCATGGTGATGCATATGTGTAATCCCAGCTGCTCGGGAGGCTGCGGCACGAGAATCACTTGAACCTGGGAGGCAGAGGTTGCAGTGAGCTGAGATAATGTCGCTGCACTCCAGGCTGGGTGACAGAGTGAGACTCCATCTCAAAAAAAAAAAAAAAAAAAAGAAAGAAATGGCCACTTGATGTAGTCTTTCAGAGTCACAATTTTTTTTTTTTCTTTTTTTTGAGACCGAGTCTCATCTGCCACCACAACCGGCCCAGAGTCACAGTTGGAGCCTAAACTCTGCCTCAGCATCTTCACCACTTGTGCCTTTGTCTTTGCAGTTCTGCCTATTATAGCCTTTCTTCCCTTGCTGCTTGGCGAACTTCTACTTATCCAGTAAGGCCTGGCTTCAGTGTTACCATCTCTCTTTAGTGTTCTGTGGTTGTCCACCTGGTGGATGACTTACTCTCCTGGCAGGGTTTCCAGTCTGATTCCATGTGATGGCACTTACTACACTCAAGTATACTTTGTGGTCTGTGTGTCTCACCCACATTCACCCACTGGCTGGTCCTGTGGTTTAGGGACTGAGCTTTTCTTTATCCATATCCATCCAGTCGGCCCCATGATTGGAACATACTATGCAGTGCTCAGGCAATGTCTGCTGAAGCGCAGGGCTTAAGAGCAGGCTACCTGGCTTGGGAACCCAGCTTTACCACTTCCTGTGTAGCTTCCGCATAACTTTCCATCTTTCTTTCTTTTTTTTTTTTTTGAGATGGAGTCTTGCTCTGTCACCCACGCTGGAGTGCAGTGACGTGATCTCGGCTCACTGCAACCTCCGCCTCCCGGGTTCAAGCAATTCTCCTGCTTCAGCCTCTCGAGTAGCTGGGACTACAGGTGCCTGCCACCACGCCCGGGTAATGTTTGTATTTTTAGTAGAGACAGGGTTTCACCATGTTGCTCAGGCTGGTCTCGAACTCCTGACCTTGTGATCTGCCCTCCTTGGCCTCCCAAAGTGCTGGGATTACAGGGGTGAGCCACTGTGCCCAGTCAGCTTTCTATCTTTCTATGCTTATTTCCTCATCTGTAAAATGTCATCCTTAGCAGGGCGAGGTGGCTCACACCTGTAATTCCAGCAATTTGGGAGGCCGAGGTGGGTGGATCCTCTGAGGCCAGGAGTTCGAGACCAGCCTGGCCAACATGGTGAAACCCCGTCTCTACTAAAAATACAAACATTAGCCGGGTGTGGTGGCGCACACCTATACTCCCAGCTACTCGGGAGATTGAGGTGGTAGAATCGCTTGAACACGGGAGGTGGAGGTTGCAGTGAGCTGAGATGGCACCACTGCACTTCAGCCTGGGTGACAGAGTGAGACCATGTCTCAAAAAAAAAAAAGATAAAATGTCATCCTCACATCAGCCTTTTGTTGTGAAAAATAAAATCAAGAGTTTACTCAAAGCAGTCAGAACAGTGCCTGACAGTAAGTCTTGTTAAAGTGTTAGCTATCATGTATTATAGATGAGCACAATGTATATCATTATTAAATATCAGCTTTATTATTATTATTTGTTTTGAGACAGAGTCTTCCTCTGTCGTCCAGGCTGGAGTGCAATGGCACGTCTTGGCTCACTGCAACCTCTGCCTACTGGGTTTAAGCGATTCTCCCGTCTCAAAGCGATTCTCCCGTCTCATCCTCATGAGTAGTTGGGATTACAGGTGCGCGCCACCATGCCCGGCTAATTTTTGTGTTTTTAGTAGAGACAGAGTTTCACCACATTGACCAGGTTGGTCTCAAACTCCTGACCTCATGATCTGCCCGCCTCGGCCTCCCAAAGTGCTGGGATTACAGGCGTGAGCCACCGTGCCTGGTCAGCTTTATTATTAAATGTTAGCTTCATCTGCTTTGTACACTAATGCATACCCAGTGCCCAGAACAGTGCCTGGAACATACTAGGTGCTAAGTAAATATTTGTGACTTAATGCATGAATGAGGGTGGACTTCCTTTCTTTTGCTCTCACTGGAGAGTTGAACTCTCCTTCCAACGCGGGTGGGGTGGATATTGGCGTATTCAGGGCCATCAGGGCTGAAGTCAAGGGCTTAGTGGGGCTTAATTTGCTGGGGGGGCCCAGGACATGGCCCTCATTGTTTCTCTAGAAGGAAAGGTCCAACCCTCAAAAGACCTTCTGAAATCCCGCTGAAAGTTAAGTTGGGAAGGAAAACCTGCATGCGTATGTATCAGGAATTAACGTCTTTTGTCTTGCTTTGTTCAGTAGTTTCAAATTGCCTTCTCCAGGCAAGGCTGATGAAAGTGCTAGTTGCAAGTTAATTTGAATTTTTCTTTCTGCTTTTGCTCTCACAGGAAGTGGAAAGGCGACCAAACACTCTAGCATTCATGCCACCAAAAAGAGGTTTTGCAGTTACAAGACCTGGATTCCAATCACGACTCCTCTTAGTTGCCCTGTAATCAGGCACAATTACTTGGGTCTCTGAGTCTCACTTTTCTTATGTAGAAAACGGAGATATGTTTACCTCCTTCGTAAGACTGATGAGAAGGAAATTATCTGTGCATTTTGAAACCACTTAAGCCTTGTACACGTTTTATTTCTGGGATCGCCACTGGTTCCCTGGTAGGGCTTCAGAAAAATAAAAAGGAGGTCCCTGAGCAAAGGCTGGGGGGCCCTTCATCTGAGGCCAACCCTCTCTTGTCCCAAGGATGGCCTGGACTGCTCCGCCCCGCGGCTCCCCAGGGGCAAAGCCGCGAGGGTCCGGGTGAGAGCCCAGTGCTGGACCAGCTCGGAGCTCAGGGGTCCCGGCCGAAATCCCTGCTGTCTTTCAGGTCAAACGTCATAATTCCCGAACCCCAGAAAGGCCAAAAAGCAAGGCAACCCCGAAAGACGACGAAGTCAACACCAGGGCGCAGGGCCAGTGTGCTGACGAGGGAGGCTGGAGCCGGGGGGACAAGGCGCCCCATACAGCGGCAAGAGGGCGGAGGGCAGGAGCTGGCCGTCCTGGGTGAAAGCGGGGCCCAGCGAAGAGGCCCGGCCACAGGAATCTCGGTTCCACCCCGCGACTCCCGGCAGTGACTCCAGTTTCGTCCCCAGCCGCCCGGCCCCGCCCCGCCCCCAGCGGGCACTCAGGCCGTACCACTGTGCCTTCATGGGGGTGGAGTTAGATCGTGGGCTAGTCCTGCCGAGGAGAGAGGGGTTCTTCCTCAAAAAATATCATTATGTATAGTATTTGCATGATTCTAGTTAACTCGTTTCCCATCTGCATGCTGGCAACCTCTACCTGCGCTAGGAAGGGGGCGGAGCGCTTTCCTGCCTCCCCCTGCTCTTCCACGTTTGGTGCGCGCCTGCGCGGTGCGTAGGCGGCGGGACGTACTTAAGCTTCGACGCAGGAGGCGGGGCTGCTCAGTCCTCCAGGCGTCGGTGCTCTGCGTTGTTGGAATCTTGTTGCTTGCTTGGCTGTGCGCGCGTGCGCCGACATGGCCTCAAACGGTAGGTAAGGGCGCGAGGCGGCGGCGGCGCACTGGGCCGAGGCCTCCCACCTGGGCTTTTCATTTTCGGTGGGACCGGGGTGGCGATCCTGTGTGGGATTCTTTCCCGCCCCTGTGGCGGGAAACCGCGGAGAGGGGTAACTGGAGGAGGCTGGTGTCGCCATTTTGTTTCGCTCCTCTGGCCCTGGCGCGCGGGGCGGTAAGTCTTCTCTTCGCAGTCCGTTTGCTTGGGGTGGTCGTTGGGAGGGACGCTTCTTAGGGGTTTGAAGCGTCAGGTGAGGGTGGAAAATGCCCGGTTTCCGTGGCCTCGCCTCCCCCAACTCCTGGCCCCGCACTCAGGCCCGCTTTGTCGCAGTGCTGCATCCGGGCACTCGCGGCGCGCACGCGCTCTGCGGGCCCCTCCCCCTTCGCGGCGCGGGTACCCCTTCCCCGCCTCGTGTCGGTTCAGCTTTTTGTCGCGAGACCCTTCGCGGAAGACTCGGCAGCGCGCGTCCGGTGTGAGCCTTGTTCCTCTGTGGTCTTTCGCGAAGGGGCGGGACCGCTCCATTCCCGCCTCGGTTGCCACGCGGCTGGGGGCGGAGGCTCGGTATCGGGGCCGCGCTCCCGCTTAACGGTTTGGAGGCGGTGGTCGTGGTTCCCCCAACGGACTCGGGGACCTGGCCCGAGAGTTTTTCCCGCCTAAATTTTTTTTTTTTTTTCTGAGTCAAGATCTCCCTTTGTCGCCCAGGCTGGAGTGCAGTGGTGCGATCTCAGCTTGCTGCAATATCCGCCTCCTGGGTTCAAGTGATTCTCCTGCCTCAGCCTCCTGAGTAGTGGGGATTACAGGCGCCTGCCACCACAGCCCGGCTAATTTTTGTGTTTTTTAGTAGAGACGGGGTTTCACCATGTTGGTCAGGCCCGTCTCGAATTGCTGGCCTCAGGTGATCCGCCCTCCTCGGCCTCCCAAAGTGTCGGGATTACAGGCGTGAGCTACCGCGCCTGGTCTAAATTTCTTTTTTCTGAGATTGGGACGGAGAATAACAGCCGTCGAGGCCACACCCTCTCCTGGTCCTTTCCCTTTTCCTGCGGGGGAAGCGCCGCGTTTCCTGCGCTGAGAGGATGAGTTGATCTTGTTGGTGTATCTAAAGTGGGGCGTTTCAAAAGGGCTTTCGTTGCTTTTGGTTCGCCCAGGGGAAGGCAGGGTAGATGAGAAAACAGAACCATCTGGAGCCCCACGGCTGGGGACTCGAGTACCTGTTGACTTTGGCCTCTTAAGGCGAGCACTTGGATGATCTCTGTCATTTGGGGTCCAAGGGCTCTTGATTCTCTGGCTTTGCACTAAAAAGCCCACTTCATCTCCGGAATTGGTCAAAGAGTGAAGAATGGCCTTTTTTGAGACATTCTTGTTCTGTGGGTCTGGGCTGAGAGAGCAGAGGCCACAATCTGAACACTGCTCGAATTCAAACCTGTACCACTTGGTAGCTCTGCGACTTTGGGCGAGTTAGTCTGTTTTGACTCTTGGCAATAATGGCTTTGTCATAGAGTGGATGAAGCGAATGCGCGATGTTTTAGAGCAATCACTGACATGAATTGGTCTTGCAGAAAGTTGTGGCTGTCCACCAAGACCTTGGTTTTTCCAACGGTTAAGGCTTCTGGGACTCTGTAGAAACTTGCATTTTCTTCACTTTTTCTTTTTTGTAAGAACACTTGGCTGATAGGCCAATTTGCTACTCTTCTCAACCAGTGTCTCAATGGGAGAATTTTATGCCTTTTATTGAAACGTGATGCTATCTTTTTTTTTTTTTTTTATGAGACCGAGTCTCCCTCTGTCGCCCACGCTGGAGTGCAGTGGCGCGATCTGCAACCTCTGTCTCACGGGTTCAAGCGATTCTTCTGCTTCACCCTCTCAAATAGCTGGGATTACAGGCGTGCGCCACCATACCCGGTTAATTTTTTGTATTTTTATTAGAGATGGGGCTTCATGTTGGTCAGGCCGGTCTCGAATTCCTGACCCCAAGTGATCCATCCACCTCGGCCTCCCAAAGTGCTGGGATTATAGGCGTGAGCCACCGCACCTGGCCTGTGTGGTCCTATTTATTCATCAGTGCTTGAGTTAAGGAATTTAGCTTTAATTCAACTCTTTCAGAGTGGCGGCTGAAGATAATATGATTGTATTTTTTTTTTTTTGCAGATTATACCCAACAAGCAACCCAAAGGTGAGTGCTATTTTTGGGCTTCCAGAGTTTGTAGAGGGGAAGGGTGGTCAAGCTGTGTTTTCTGATCACGCTGGTTTTCCTTTCATCTAGCTATGGGGCCTACCCCACCCAGCCCGGGCAGGGCTATTCCCAGCAGAGCAGTCAGCCCTACGGACAGCAGAGTTATAGTGGTTACAGCCAGTCCACGGACACAGGCTATGGCCAGAGCAGCTATTCTTCTTACGGCCAGAGCCAGAACAGTGAGTCTCTCTCAGCAGGTCACCTCTTCCTGCTCTTTCTGAATATTGCTTTTCTTTTTTTTCTTTGGGAGACAGAGTCTCTTCCTGTTGCCTAGACTGGAGTGCAGTGGTGCTATCTCAGCTCACTGCAACATCCGCCTCCCGGGTTCAAACAATTCCCCTGCCTCAGCCTCCTGAGTAGCTGGGATTACAGGCACCTGCTACCACACCCTACTAATTTTTGTATTTTTAGTAGAGATGGGGTTTCACCATGTTGGATAGGCTGGTCTAGAACTCCTGACCTCGTGATCCACCTGCGTCGGTCTCCCAAAGTGCTGGGATTACAGGTGTGAGCCATCATGCCCTGAATGTTGCTTTTCTTAAACCTGAGCAGGACTGAAGTGTTGAAACTCTTCCATATTTCTTTTCCCTAAATGAGTGTATAATTCTTAAAACTCTTTGGGGTCTGAGTCCTTTACAGGGCATTGTGGCACACCTGTAGTCCCAGCTACTGAGGAGTCTGAGGCAGGAGAATCCCTTGAGTTCAGGAGTTTGGGGCTGCAGTGAGCTGTGATAGTGACTGAACAGCAACTGCATTCCAGCCTGGGCAGTGTATTGCGGCCCCATCTCAAAAAACAAAAATGTCTTTTGGTTTGTGATTCTGTTTACATTTGTTTTCTTTGGCTTTTAATTTTTATGACTCTTATTTCCCGTCTCAGCATGAAAGAGCATATTTTCTAAAGGGAGAACCAGTTTTAGGCCAATTCTTAAATGGAGAAAATGGTTTTGCTTGAAACAAATGTATGAAATCATGTGATACATAAGGAGGTGGGATGTGCCCCAAGGTCCTGAAGTGTAACTAAGAAAGGTGGTTGTCCTGTAGATACTGCATGCACAGCTGCATATCACAGTGCTGTTAACAGGAATCCTTGGGCTTGGGATTAGAGGGTGGTGCTGGAGATGGTGTTGGGGTTGGTGGGGTTAAATTGGAACTGTCTTAGAGAGATGATAGAAGTTGGAGCATTAACTTTGGGCTTTGAAAGGAGGGTAACTATCTTTATGAGTTGCAAGATTATGAACAGCTTCTGAAAGGCTGACTTTTTGAGTATAGGTGAGTATTAGGTTGTATATGTTTTAGCACATTTCTTACATTTTCTCTTTCCTGGTGACTTTTGTGACTTTTTTTTTCTTATTCTTGTAGCAGGCTATGGAACTCAGTCAGCTCCCCAGGGATATGGCTCGACTGGCGGCTATGGCAGTAGCCAGAGCTCCCAATCTTCTTATGGGCAGCAGTCCTCCTACCCTGGCTATGGCCAGCAGCCAACTCCCAGCAGCACCTCGGGAAGGTACGGTGGTGTCGATGTCGGGGAAGGCTTGAAAAAAGGGGTGAATTGATGAGGAATGATAAAAGGGACCAGCAGCAGTAGGAGCAGTTTAGAGGTGTAATTGGGGTAGGGGAGCCTGTGTTGAGTACAGAGAATGGAATCCACTAAAAGGAAATTGGGGGGGTATGCTGGGATTGTGATTGTGTTTTTTGTTTGTTTTCCTTAGTTACGGTAGCAGTTCTCAGACCAGCAGCTATGGGCAGCCCCCGAGTGGGGGCTACGGCCAGCAGCCTAGCTATGGTGGACAGCAGCAAAGCTATGGACAGCAGCAAAGCTATAATCCCCCTCAGGGCTATGGACAGCAGAACCAGTACAACAGCAGCAGCAGTGGTAGTGGAGGTGGAGGTGAGATGTCCTCAGCTTTGTCTGCAGCCCATTTTCTATAAGGATTTGTATTCTCCTGTTTTAGCCTAAAAGGGTTCCTGTTTTATTTCCTAGCTGTCTTTTTAATTTCTTTTGTACTTCATTGCCTGGCACTTGTCAAACCTTTTTGTGCTACTTTACAATTTTTTTTTTTTTAAAACCATCCTTTCTTTTCTCACAGGTAGCTATGGCCAAGATCAATCCTCCATGAGTGGTAGTGGTGGTGGCGGCGGCGGTGGCGGCGGCGGCGGCAGTGGTGGTGGTGGTGGTTATGGCAATCAAGACCAGAGTGGTGGAGGCGGCGGTGGCTACGGACAGCAGGACCGTGGAGGCCGTGGCAGGGGCGGCAGCAGTGGTGGCGGCGGTGGCAGTGGTGGTGGTTACAACCGCAGCAGTGGTGGCTATGAACCCAGAGGTCGTGGAGGTGGCCGTGGAGGCAGAGGTGGCATGGGGTAGGTGTCTCATGAGCCAGGGAGTATCTTTGGTGGGGAATGTGGAGGATTGCATGAATCTCCCTGAAGCCAGTCCCTAATGCATGGTTTAGTATTCTTGTTGTCTGGGGGATCTGTGAGGGCTTTGATTTGGGGGCAGTGATTTTCTTTTTACATCCCCATTTTATTTTTGTGAGAATTTGGGAGCCTGAACTCCCATCCATACCACCGAATAGAGATTTTGAGTATTGATACTTGTTTCCAAAAAAAAGAAATCATACATAGATTTCCAATACGTATGGATTGGAGTCATTGATATCTTAGGCAAGAAACATGGAAGTGAAGACTTCTTTCTCTGCAAGGGAAACCGATGAACCCACTCCTGGGAAATAGTAGGGAAACTTGGTATGTGTGTTCCCATGTGTCCTCTAGGGAGTTGGTAATGGTTAACCTGACTTCAGCTTCCAGGAATTGGTTACTCTTCCCGTTTTCTGTAGTCATTTGAATCCACGAACTTGATTTGCACCAATTTGACCGACATTGATTTTGGGTGTGACTTGGTTTATGGGACCAACTGACTGAAGTGTGCAGACCTTTTGGGCAAAAATATGCTTGACAGTGGTCTCCCACCTAGTTGTTCCACTGTCTGCCTTACCCTGGTTACTTAAAATTCATCAGCTTGTCCAACTGGACCTTCTTTCCTTCCTGCTGAAGTTGATTTGAAGTAAAACCTTAGATTTGATGTTAAAACCGTTGTCAAATCTGTCGGTAAATACGATTTGAAGGACCCTACTCTGTCTCCCTTGAAAAAGGGCAGGAATGTCAGTGTAACTGTTTTTGGAAAAAGTAGATTTTTAAACTGAGTTTGGATATGGTAAGTATGCAGAGGTGGGTGGGGGCAATCTCAAAAACGTACAAAAATGAGGAAAACTCTGTTGTGTGTGTGTGTTTAATGCAAAACTTTAAAAAGAAAAACAACTGTTATGTGACTGTTAACTTGCTCTGCATTTTATGTGCCACAGGTATGAAAGGTGACATTGCAAAATACTCCGCTCTTCTCGCAGTGTAGAAGGGGTGACCCCGGGGGTTGGGGGAGATTAAAAACAGCTCAGTAGTTAGGACAGAGCTTAGCTAAGTTTGTCTTGCTTTAAGGGGAAGTTGCCTTTGGTTTTGACTTTTTATGGAATGGGGTTGGGTCTGCTTGCTGCTTTCAAAGCAAAAACCACAAAAGTGTGTTCAAGGCTACCCCAGCCTGGTGTGAAATGTCTTCTGGGTAAATTGGGGTAGGGTTTTTAAACCAACTACTTGGTTGTCAACCACTTGCGACAAGAGGAAAAAAAAACATCTGCTCCATCGGAAGAACGACCAAGGAAAATGGGTCATTTTTTTCCAGAGGAAATAGATACATAACCTTTTAAAGCAAAATCTTTATAAACTGTGTCTGAGAAATTGCACACGTGTGTGTGACATGCTCGAAGGTCAGACAAGGGGTGGTCAGGAAGGGATGTATTTTAGTAGCCACTTGTATCTTTCCAAAAACACCTACCCGTGTTTGGGAAATGTTAAACAAAATCAAAAAAACACCCTTTTGTAGCCGTTGGAAGCTTCATGTCCTTTCTTCTAACTTGTCTTCTCCAGCGGAAGTGACCGTGGTGGCTTCAATAAATTTGGTGGTAAGTGAACAGAGTTTCCAAAATTCCCAACTCCCAGCAATGCTTTGTCTGATTGTTCATTTGCAGATGTCTTAGCGTGTTAATTTAAATGTCAAAGGTTTTGAGGTGTCCAGAACCACCTCCATAAAGGGGTAGGGTAGAATGCCACCTGTTGCCTGGTGTGTGCTAACCTGGAGCAGGCAGGGGTAAGATTCAGTAGTCGTCTTTTACCAAATGGGTTTGCCCCAGGTTAATAAGAGGGGTTTAGTAGGCCTTGGACAGGGCTGTTGCCACACCTGGCACTTAGTGACCATCATCATGAGAAACTGGAGAGTGCGTGCTGGAACACGTGGTGCCATCTTGACTTTAGGATCCTTTTGATCATTGTGTCCAAGGCTTGTGTGTGTGTGAGAGTGGGAGACAACCTCCAAATGTTTTAATTCTGGAAGAGGGATGTAACATTGCCCTAAGAATGGTGAAGTTGGTATACCTTTATAAAGTACGGAATGGTGTCAATGAATGCAATTCTATGTATATGGACTTAACTCAGATGGGCAAATAGAAACTAGCTCTGGGAAGGAACATGTGCACTACTTCAAGAAAGATTGGAAGCATGTGTGGCTCATGGGAAATAACCAGGTCTTAAACAGCACAAACTGAATTCATGGACCAGGAAGGTCTTAAACAGCACAAACTGAATTCATGGAAAAATGACAAATTTGAGAAGTCTCCCAGTAAGCTGGAACTTTTCTGGTTTGGTTAACTAACAAAAGGTTTCTTGATTTGTCTCAACATTTAAAGCCAAAGGCTTGGGTTCATGACTTAGGTGTCATTGCGTGTGGGTACAATATTTATATATGGCGAATTCAGATAAACATTGGTCAAAGATGGTCTCTGGAAAAACAAAATAGAGGCTGCATTACGAAAGTAAGATTTCTGGTCTGTTCCCTGGGACATGCTTAAAAAATACAATAGCTATTATGTATGGTTTTTATTTTCGTGTGGTTTTGGGGAAACATAACACGGTTTTAAGGATGGTTTCTAAAGATGAAATTAAAAATCGTTCCACAAGGGATAAGTGTCTTTGGTAAAGTTGGGAGAAACTGGATGGATGCACATCTTATGGCTGGTGGCGAGCCCATCTCTCTTCTCTCGGGTGAGAGAACTGGGCCAAGCTGAGTTGGTTTGTTCACTTTAATGGGTCTCCCTTTCCCCTGCCATCTGTGCTGAGGACATTTCCCAGCTTGAGCTGGGGGAGGCAGCATTTTCTGAAGTGTGGAGTTGTCTCTGTGGAGACTCAAGTTACAGATCTTAAGGGGCCTGCCTAGAATTTTCTCCGGGCAGGCGACCCAGGAAAGGGTTTGGAGTGAGGCTGTGAGCACTTACATGATATTTTACAAGTTTGGATTTGGTGTTAATTTTTTTCCTTGTCCATTTTTTCCGGTTGACTAACGGCTCCTCTTCCTTGTTTTTGTTTTTTTTTTGTTCTTTTTTTCCATGTCACTTAAGGCCCTCGGGACCAAGGATCACGTCATGACTCCGGTGAGTTCACAGGTGGTGGCATGAAGAGTGGCTAAAGTGGTATCAAGACTTTGCCTGGATATTCTTTGAAACTATTATGAAAAGGAAACTGAAAAAAAGGGGATAGAGAAGAAAGGGAGTTAGGTGTATCCTTAGCTAGCAGTGAGAAGTATTCATTATTAAGTATTTCTCAGAAATACCTGGCTTGTGGGTTCCACCCCCAGCGATTTAGAAGGTCTGAGATGACCCTGACAATCTACCTTTCTAACAAGTCCCTAGTGATGTTGATGTGTCTGCACCACACTCAGATGGTTTTTACAGCAGTGGTTTTTTAAAAATGTGGATCATGTCCAAGCTGGTAAATAAAAACCAGTGAACAAAAGACCGGACCACTTGAAGTAAAGCATTGAACTCTTGTTTAGATTGTATTGATGTTTGTGTACTAGATTTGAATGTAAAATGGGTCTCTTAATTCGGGACCTTCAACTGGAAGTTGATAAATACTGATGGGCTTTTTTGTGTGGTCTTGGGCATTTCACTCCTGAGCCCTGGTGTCCATACTGTATACTGTGTGTTAACATGTTTCAAAGGATAATTTTCAAACTAAATTTGAAATTTATCAGCATGGGTGGCATATAGGGACTCAAAAGGGATGTGGATTTTTCAGTTGTCTTCATAAACCAAATAATACGAGTTGCTTGATGGATACTAGGTGCTTTAGGTTTTTTCCTATGTCATTTATTTTACCTTTTCACATTTGCATTTTCTTCTGTGTTCAACAAGCAGAACAGGATAATTCAGACAACAACACCATCTTTGTGCAAGGCCTGGGTGAGAATGTTACAATTGAGTCTGTGGCTGATTACTTCAAGCAGATTGGTATTATTAAGGTACTTGTGGAGTGGAGTGGGTGCTTTCTGTCAGTGTTGCAGGCTTTTGGATTTCACACATTAGTGAAAGCAAGTCTTTAATGGTTGCCAGCAGTAAAAACAAATCTTAATGGTTGTTGCCAGCTTAATTTGTTGAGGAAAGAGCCTTAGTTACTGTTTTCTAAAAGAAGTTCTATCTTAACACGAAAAGTATAACTGATAAGAATGCGCTAAACTCTGAAATTTGTACTTCATAGTAACTTTTAGTTTTATCCTTCAATATTGGAGGGAAAGACAGTTTTCCTCAATGGAGGTTTACATGTGAGGTAGGATGAAGTAACTAGGAAGAGGGGAGCTGAAGTTTGGGAATGATAAACCTCATGTTCTAGAGGAAGAAGATGGAAAGGGAGTACTGTAGCCTTTAAAATTGATGTCACCTCATTTTGCTTTCTTCAGACAAACAAGAAAACGGGACAGCCCATGATTAATTTGTACACAGACAGGGAGACTGGCAAGCTGAAGGGAGAGGCAACGGTCTCTTTTGATGACCCACCTTCCGCTAAAGCAGCTATTGACTGGTTTGATGGTATGTATGAGAAGGCTGGCAGAGTTGGGGCTGGGGATATAGGGCAGCAAGTCATAGTTTGAGGGTTAATTTGAGTCTTCCGACACTTTAGCTGCGGTTTTAAGTCTCATTTTTGCTTATGAGTCAGTAGATTATAAACTGAGAAAGGCACGCTTATCTTGTATTTTTGGATTAATGTATCTTGCATTTAAAGTCTTTTGGTACTTTTTTATTTCTCTAGGTAAAGAATTCTCTGGAAATCCTATCAAGGTCTCATTTGCTACTCGCCGGGCAGACTTTAATCGGGGTGGTGGCAATGGTCGTGGAGGCCGAGGGCGAGGAGGTGAGGAGCTACCTGCTGTTGGTGCAAAGGGGGGTGATGAGGAGAGTAGAGAAGATGGTAAAAGCTTGCGTGGAATGGGTTAGGTTTACCAAACTTGGAGGGGGAGCAGACCCATACTTGTTTTATCTGCATTAGGACCCATGGGCCGTGGAGGCTATGGAGGTGGTGGCAGTGGTGGTGGTGGCCGGGGAGGATTTCCTAGTGGAGGTGGTGGCGGTGGAGGACAGCAGCGAGCTGGTGACTGGAAGTGTCCTAATCCGTGAGTGAAACTTAAATTCTTTTCTTAGTTCTCTCACATGCCTGCTCTTTGATATTATGGTAATGAGGTGTGTGCGTGTTTTCCAAAGAAGTAAATGTCAAGGCCGCACTGTTGGGGTCAGATTTAGCCAAAAGCTTACCTAGGTAAGGTTGATGTAATGGGAAAGGTAATGGATTGGGTTCAGTAATGATTTTTGTTCCTGGCTTTGAGAAGCAAGCCTTTTTGTCTTTCTGAAGCCTCAGTTTCCTCACTGTATCTCTAAAGTCATGGTAGTTTCTTCCTACTCCTAGGTCTCGTCTATTCCCCATCCCTCTAGACTAATTGTCTTCCTTCTCCTTAGCACCTGTGAGAATATGAACTTCTCTTGGAGGAATGAATGCAACCAGTGTAAGGCCCCTAAACCAGATGGCCCAGGAGGGGGACCAGGTGGCTCTCACATGGGTAAGAAAGGCAGACCTGGTGCTAAGGAGCTGGGTCCAAAGAATCCTTAATTTTTTAGCAGGGAGGTTCGCGGAAGGTAGGGGAATGGGAATATGATAGATCTTATTTCTTTTGTCCTAGGGGGAAACTACGGGGATGATCGTCGTGGTGGCAGAGGAGGCTATGATCGAGGCGGCTACCGGGGCCGCGGAGGGGACCGTGGAGGCTTCCGAGGGGGCCGGGGTGGTGGGGACAGAGGCGGCTTTGGCCCTGGCAAGATGGATTCCAGGTGAGACTTTAAATCAGAATAAAAAAGAGCAGGTGAACAGAGGCCATAGGATAACAGGGTTTTGTTGAGAAAGTGGTTTCATTTTGAGGGCTAGGTGGAAGGACCTGAGATTGTAACCAGTAGTGGAGAGGGAAGGAAAATTAACTCAGGAGGAATGAATCTAGACCCACTTGAGATAAGATACTCGCTGATTTAGGTAGGAGGGGCAGATAGGATATCTAGGCTTGGAGAGACTGGTAACTCAAATACAATGGATACTTAATTTTTTTTTTTTTTTTTTTGCAGGGGTGAGCACAGACAGGATCGCAGGGAGAGGCCGTATTAATTAGCCTGGCTTCCCAGATTCTGGAACAGCTTTTTGTCCTGTACCCAGTGTTACCCTCGTTATTTTGTAACCTTCCAATTCCTGATCACCCAAGGGTTTTTTGTGTCGGACTATGTAATTGTAACTATACCTCTGGTTCCCATTAAAAATGACCATTTTAGTTAAATTTTGTTCCTCTTCCCCCTCTTCAGTTTCCTGGAAGGTTGATGATGTCCCGATCAGGAAGGTGGGGAGTTTTCTTGTTCAGATTACCCTGCCCAGCAGGAACTGGAATACAGTGTTTAATCCAGGGGAGAAGGCCAAATGATACCCCTTGAGAGCAGATATGAAACTTTTCTGTCATGGACAAAGTTGGATGTATAAATGAGAAATGAAGAACATGGGATGTCATGAGTGTTGGCCTAAATTTGCCCAGCTATGGGGAATTTTTCCTTTATTTGCATATTGGTCTTAATTTATTTGCAGCAGTTTAAGAACTTTTTAAGAACTCTTGCATCTTTTGGCACATTTAATGGTGAGGCTCAAACAAATTAGATTTAAATGGGGCAGTATTCACATCTGACCATGGTGGAGAGTGCTTAGCCACTCTGGGTCTTTCACAGGGAGAGTAACTTAGTTCCTGCTGAGTGCTGCAGAGTTTGTGGAGTCAGGATCTAATCGTCAACCCTGGGAGACCAGACAGTTAACGGCTGAGAAGGAAGTACATGAATTACATGGCGCTCAGAACCAGAAAATGGGAAAGCTGGAAGTGAGTCCTACTCAAGATTCCTTGACTCCATTTCCGTTTTGTGGCATTTTGACTTGAAACCATCATGCAGGAGATCCTGAAGAGGCCAAATTCCTATCCCAGACTGGTTTACTTAGGTCTTAAGAGGACGCTACAATAAGAGACTTGGGAAATGGAGATGAAGAGGGGGAAGGTTTTCTGCGAAAGGAAGGTAGAGGTAGTTGCTTGTATTTAGAGGCGGCGAGTGACTCCCTTCGTAGCTACCCTGGTGAATGGGGTTTGGGTAGATACTTGCTGTAAGGAGACTGGTCTGGCTGGGTCACTTTCACATCCTGCCTGTACTCGGAGGGCTTGAGGTCATTGACATTTTGAGATTTTAGGCTTGATCGTTTTTGATTGGAGGGTGGAAGGCCCTCCTGAGGGAATGAGTGATAGAGCGGAGAAGGGGTTGCAGGCAGTGAGTTAAAACCTTGGAGCAGTGCCCCTCAGCCTCTTACTATGTGGCTGAAAACTTGCACATACCTGGCAAGCAGTTACTTTAAAGCGTGCTTTTTATTTTAATTACACAGAGCGTAAAATTAACCCAAGAGCAAAAAGGTTTTAGTTAACGGGGTTTTCAAACTTGGTTTATAAGACAGCTGCCATCACAAGCATAGCTTATAAATGTGCTGGGGACCCCTAATTGGGAAGTGCTTTCATCTCAAATTTTTATTTTATTTTTGAGATTTTTATTTTTGAGACTTCCTCTGTCATGCAGGCTAGAGTGCACTCTTGGCTCACTGTAACCTCCGCCTCCCGAGTTCAAGCGGTTCTGCCTCAGCCTTCCAAGTAGCTGGGACTACAGGCCCACCTAATTTTTGTGTTTTTAGTAGAGATGTGGTTTCACCATGTTGACCAGGCTGGTCTCTCAATTCCTGACCTCAGGTGATCCACCTGCCTTGGCCTCCCAAAGTGCTGGGATTACAGGCATGAGCCGCTGCACCCGGCCGTCCTCTCAAATTTTCAAGTGTGTTCCTGAAGTATGCTCTTTACAGAAGAGTTGCTGCAACCTTGAATCTTGGTGATTTGAGGCACAGAAGTTAGGACTTTATTTTTTGAGATGGAGTTTTGCTCTTGTTGCCCAGGCTGGAGTGCAGTGGCGCATTCTCGGCTCACTGCAACCTCTGCCTCCTGGGTTCAAGCGATAGCTGGGATTACAGGCATGCGTCACTATGCCCAGCTAGTTTATTTGTATTTGTAGTAGAGACAGGGTTTCTCCATGTTGGTCAGGCTGGTCTTGAACTCACCGCTGGTGATGCGCCCACCTTGGCCTCCCAAGAAACTGACTTTTAAAAGGAATGGCAGGTTTACCTTCCCTGCCAGCATTGGGGTCCTCTGTAAGCAACAGTAGGCTAAGAGTAGTCTGGCATGTTGAAGGATTGTCAGGTGGGCCTTCTAAGGCGTTGCTTTGACTTGGTACATGTAGAGAAGTTCTCTGAGAACAAGGATGTGGCAGTTCTCTCCCTGTCCCTGCTGCTGTTGCTTTCTTTGTTAAATGTTTAGTTGAAATGGCCCGATAGGATTATTTCTGAGTAGTTCACTGTTGATGCTTTGCCTATCAGGATTCTAGCTTTGGTTGTGGTCCCCTGATCCCCTTCTTCCCTTCTTCCAGGAGTGGAGGAGGTTGAAGCTCCTTGTAAGACCTGATTATTGGGACCGTTAGTGTCAAGTTCCTGTGCCCTTCAAATGGCTTATGTGATTGGCCTTGGCCTTAAAAGGAAATAGGGTCCCAAGTGACTGTTTAGTGGGTAGGTCCAGTTTGGGGGGATTTTCCAGGAGAACGGATAGAGACACCTAGCAGCAGAGAGAACATTGGTGCCTCTGAAGCCAACCTCCCACCTCAGCCTCCCGAGTAGCTGGGACTACAGGTGTTCCCTCGCTACCACACCTGGGTAATTTTTTTTTTTTTTTTTTAAATTAGGAAGGTTTCGCTGGGTTGCCCAGGCTGGTCTTGAACTGGACTCAAGTGACCTGCCTGCCCCAGCCTCTCAAAGTGCTGGGATTACAGGTGTGACCCACCGTGCTTGGCCAGAATACTCTTTTTTTTTTTTTTTTTTTTTTTCTTTTTTTGAGATGGTCTCACTCTGTTGCACAGGCTGGAGTGCAGTGGCGCAATCTCGGCTCACTGCAAGCTCAACCTCCTGAGTAGCTGGGACTACAGGCACCCACCATTGCGCCCGGCAAGTTGTTTTTTTTTTTTTTTTTTTTTTTTAAGTAGAGATGGGGTTTCACCGTGGTCTCGATCTTCTGACCTTGTGATCCACCTGCCTCGGCCTCCCAGAGTGCTGGGATTACAGGCGTGAGCCACCGTGCCCAGCCCAGAATACTCTTAACTGAATGATTGAAATCTGTCTTGAAGCATTAGGTGCCCCATTTTTGTGAGTTGGAATTGGGACAGGCTAACTAGGAAGTGAGGAGGGTGGGGAGAGGTGTGCTGTAGGTCTGTTTGCCCCTTCCTTGATGTAGTCTTCAGTTAGCCCTATCAGCTTTTTTTCCCCATCTCGTGCCAGGCGTTCCTGGGTTTCAGTACTTGGATGTTGGGCTGCAGTTAAGTCAGTGGTGGGTAGATTAAGGTCTAGGGTCCAGCTCGTGTGAGACTTGACTCATTGATCACCTTTAGGCATGTCTTCCTACTTCCAGTCTTCCTACTTCCAGTCTCATCCTTTTTAAAGAAAAAAAAAAAATTTTTTTTTTTTTGAGACAGTGTGTCACTCTGTCGCTTAGACTGAATTGCAGTGGTGTGATCTTGACCAACTGCAACCTCTGCCTTCCACCCCCAAGCAATCTACCCACCTCAGCCTCTGGAGTAGCTGGGACGGGACTACAGGCACCTGCCACCATGACTGGCTAATTTTTTTTGTATTTTCTGTAGAGATGGGATCTTGCCATGTTGCTCAGGGTTGTCTCAAAACTGCTCTGGGCTCAAGTGATTTTCCTACTTTGGCCTCCCAGAGTGCTGGGATTAGAGATAGGAGACACTGCATCTGGCTATGAAAATTTTATTTTCAGTTGACTTGCATATATTTATGGGGGTCCAATGTCCTATTTCTGTACACGTACATTTTGTGGAATCAAATCGGGCTAGTTAACATATCTGTAACTTTATATCATTAGCACGAATGAGAACATATAAAACCACTCTTAGCAAATTTTAAAATTTATGTTACTTCAGCCCTTTTATGCTGGAGGTTGCAAATTTTGTGTGTGTGAATTATCAGACCAAAATAAAAACAAGAAATGATTGAAGACAGACTTCAATCATTCAGGAATAGTGTATTCTGGGCAAGCGTGGTGGGTCACACCTGTAATGGAACACTCAGCATGGCATAAATGGGTCGAGACAGGTCTCCTTATGTTGCTCAGGCTGGACTCGAACTCCTGGGCTTAAGTGATCTTGCCCTCAGCCTCTTAGCTGGGACGATGGATGCATGCCACTGTGTCTGGTATTTTTATGAACTGTAGTCACCATGCTGTGCAGTGGCTTACCAGAACTCATTTCTTGTACCTGAAGTGTTGTACCCTTTGTCTCCCTGCTTACCCATACCTCCAAGCCTCTGGTAACCCCCATTCTACTTTCAGCTTCCGAGTTTGACTTTCTAGATTCCATGTACATGAATTCAGGCGGTCTTTCTGTGGCTTACTTCATTTAGCATAATGTCTTCTAGATTTATTGATTCACCCATGTTGTTACAAATAACAGTTTCCTTTTAAAAAGCTGAATAGTGTTCTGTTGTGTCAACATACCACATTTAAAAATCCATCCGTTAATTGGGCACTTGGGTTGCTTGCATATCTTGGCTAGTGTGAATAACATTGCATTGGGTGGGAGTGCAGATGTCTCTGACGTACGGATTTTTTTTTTTGATCAGACAGATCAGTCTTCGTCTGTCACCCAGGCTGGAGTGCAGTGGTACAGTCTTAGCTCACTGCAACCTCTACCTCCCAGGTTCAAGCGATTCTCCTGCCTCAGCCTCCCAAGTGGCTGGGATTACAGGTGTGCACCACCACGCCCAGCTAACTTTTGTGTTTTTAGTAGAGATGGGGTTTCTCCATGTTGGCCAGGCTGGTCTCAAACTCCTGACCTCAGGTGATCCACCTGGCTCCATCTTCCAAAGTGTTGGGATTAGAGGTGTGAGCCACCATGCCCAGCCGACGTAGATTTCAGTTCCCTTCAGTGTACACGCAGAAGTGGTATTGCTAGGTCATAGGGTACTTCTATTAGCTATTTGAGGAGACTTCCTACTATTTTCCATAATGGCTGTATTAGTCCACATTTCCACCAACAGCGTACAGGGGTTCCATTCCTCCACGTCTTTGCTAATTATCTTTCATCTTTTTGATACAGCCATTCTAACAGGTGTGAGGTGACATTTCTTGTCCTTTTTAACCGTCCACCATGGA